AAGTACCAGGAAGTGATCACTGGTGCTTATAAATATCACGCTGTGAGGCATGACTGTGAAGGGTATATCAGAGTGGACTGACAGCAGTCAGAGTGCTGACACCTACCAGTGTGTGTGTGTGTGCAGATGACTATAAAAGTGTACTGACGGATATCAGAATCCCGAAGCTACAGAGCAAAAACCGGAACTCACAGAAAGAGCCCCGAGGCTGTAGAGCAAAGCCCGAACTCACAGAGAGAGCCCCGAGGCTGTAGAGCAAAGCCTGGGCTCACAGAGAGAGCCCCGAGGCTGTAGAGCAAAGCCCGGGCTCACAGAAAGAGCCCCGAGGCTGTAGAGCAAAGCCTGAGCTCACAGAGAAAGAGCTCCAAGCCCACAATACCATCCCCGAGCAAGTCAATGCCTATACACAAATCACAGGAGATTAATGGGCCACCAAATGTCCCCCCCCCCCCTCCTGGCCCTACAGTGCCAGAGAGCCATGTGAAGAGCGCCATTCGTCAGCGGCTGCAAATGCGAGGGGACTGAAATATAATATTCCTTTTTATACGTACAGTTTGGGAGATAAATGCAAGAAGACCCGAGACGCTCATGTAAATATCACGAGATTAAGGTGACAAGGAGAGCGAAAACATGGAACAATGAGAGTCTTAGAGCGAGGGGAGGAGGGAGGTAATGCCTTGGGCTCTTACGTCCTCCAGGAGCATCGAGATGGTTATGAGAGACATGTGCAGCATCCCTGTGTGCATCCCATTCCTCATCTTATGTGCTGGGATGTGCAGCATCCCTGTGTGCATCCCATTCCTCACCTCATGTGCTGGGATGTGCAGCATCCCTGTGTGCATCCCATTCCTCATCTCATGTGCTGGAATGTGCAGCATCCCTGTGTGCGTCCCATTCCTCATCTCATGTGCTGGGATGTGCAGCATCCCTGTCCTGGGATGCTGCGTGTCTTACAGAAGCTTCCTAGTAATATAGAAATATATTGCTAAGAGAATGGTAGTGTGGCCTTAATAATTAACTAGTATAGTGGACTACGAGTCCAAGGAGATGATAAGTTGCCATACTGGTCTCAATGTGTAATGTTGACCAGACCACACACTAGAAGGTGAAGGGACGACGACGTTTCGGTCCGCCCTGGACCATTCTCAAGTCGATTGGCTTGAGAATGGTCCAGGACGGACCGAAACGTCGTCATCCCTTCACCTTCTAGTGTGTGGTCTGGTCAATATACTTTAGCCACGTTATTGTGACTCATCGCTTCAATGTGTAATTTTTTTAGTATCCTTGAAAGTTATAGATGCATTGTACTGCAAGTAGCTCTTGGAGCACATTATAGTTAGTTAAGGATCTGATTTATTATTCAATTGTGTATGATTCATGTCCTACGTATAATATTGTGGATTTTTTAAGTTATATGTGTTACATTGATGAAGGTTTACCTTAATATACCTTCGTGGTGCTCTAGGGATAGTTGAAGTCTCAGTGGAGTACCAATTATATGTCTTGTAAACCCATCTATATGCAAGTACTCATGGCCTGGTGGTTAGAGTGACAGTTTCGTGTTTTTCAGACCCATGTTCGAATTCCTGATGAGCGATGTGAATGATGTTATGTAAACTCATCCTCCAAAACTGATAGTACCTAAAGCTACTATGGATAGTACGTACAAAATATGAGCTATTGTACTCACACAAAAAAACTTATTTATTTCTACTTTTGAAATACTACAAATATCATGCCAAAAAGTGGAAAAAAATTATAAACCGAACCCAACGTGTTCCTTTGGTATATATATATATATATATATATATATATATATATATATATATATATATATATATATATATATATATATATATATATATATATATATATATATATACACAATATATAAAACTTTTAATGATATTTAAATTACTCTATACATTGATTGGTTTTCGGCTTCCAATATTCCATGCAATTAAATCTTTATACCCAATTGATAAAAAAAAATAATAATAAGCTTTCACTGTGGGATTTCACTGTTATAAGATCCAATATAAAGCCCGGGTACAGTGAAGCCAAATATATCGCACGTGCCCAGTGAAGCCAAATGTATTTCTAAATTACAGGGAAAATACACAATACACTTTTTTTTTGTAATGGAATTGGGTGTAAGATATCTCTTAGTGGTTGTAACTATTAGCACTAAACAAGGGGGCAGGATATCGTAGTTGTTTTTCTCTTGTTTAATACTAACATAAATAAGGGGAAGCTAGCATCAATCAAGGATAGTTGCAAAGTTATAAATATCACTTACAAGACCCAATGACTGGTACGATAAATTAGTACCACAGGCTAACAAGGCTTATAAGAAAATAATTAAGGCATTTACTGTAGGCCTATTGGCTCTCTGTAGGCACCCTCTCTCTCTCTCTCTCTCTCTCTCCTCTCTCTCTCTCTCTCTCTCTCTCTCTCTCTCATCTCTCTCTCTCTCTCTCGCTCTCTCTCTCTCTCCTCT